GAAGTTGCTTAAAAAAAAAAAAAAAAAAAAACAGGTAAGTCCTTATCCTGGAATGTGAAGGCAGCACCTTGGCTCCCACACAGGGTGGCAGAGATGGCCCAGCAGGGTCATGTCCCGACGTTCCAGGTCAGATAAAGAAAGTGCTGGCTGTGTTTGTGGGGTCGGTTTGACGTATCTTTTCTGTTTTCTAGAAGCCTGGGGAAGGACGCGCTGTGCGGTAGGACCGGTGCTACTTTAGCCCTGAGGTTCAAAAACTGCACATCAGTGCAACTCCCTGAGTGGCCTTCATCACCAAATAAACCAGATTTGCTTTCTCCAGGGTGGTGGGAACAGGAGCTCACAAGTGGATTCCAGCTACACCTCAGGGTAGCAGTTGGCACATGCTTAACTTTAACTTTAAAGCCCACCCACTGGCTATTAAAGGTCACATGAACCCCTGAGATCTAATGAAAGGAAAACCAAACAAACCAAAAAAACCCACGACAATATCCCCAGAAAACACTACACCCCGTTTCCCACTCCTGAAGGAGGCCGGGTTCACATGACACGTCGGGGTCCCCCCCTCACCCCGGGAACTTGCCAGCCTCAGCCAGGGAGCCGGAGCATTTGTCCCCCCCTGCCCGGGGGCAGCTGCCAAAGCAGCGGCGCAGCGAGGAGAGCAGCTCCCACTCGGGCTGGCCGTGCCCACGGAACCAGAACACTACACAGAACAGGTGTCCAAGCAAAAAGGCCCCGGTGTGCCAAAAGAAATAAAAGATTGAACGCTGAAGCAGCTGGGCAGGAATGCTCTGCAGTGAGCAGCTCCATGATGTCTGGCACTCCTCTGCAGGTACAATTCTACACGGCACTTCCACCAGACACAGGGACACTCAAGGGACTATTGAAGCCCTATTTAAGATACTCAAAATGCAGTGACTTTCACTTTCCATTAATGAGAAGAGCGTCACCCAATCGTGGTTGCGTACTTCAACAGCAGTAGCTTAGCATAATTGAAATGTGTGGCAGGACTTTGGAGTGAGCTTTTCAAGGATCTTCCAAGGCAGCCATGGAACCCTGCAGAAGCCCCATGGAAACCTCTGTCTGGGATAGTAGAGGTGTCAAAAAAAATATCCTTTAAGATAACAGGGGGAACGTATAGTAAAGAAGGGGATCCTTACCTACAACCCAATAGATCGAATGCTACCCCAAGAGTCCTATTCGTTTAAACACACCATGTTGGAATACCATGGCAGTGACGGCCCGTGGCAGTTTCAGCCCTGGCACTGAAGGATGTTGAGCATCTTTCAGATCGGGGAAGCAAGCGGGGATAGAGAAAGGCCGCTGACAGCTGCGGCTTAGTGCCCCTCAGATCCCAACATCTTTACTGGTGCTGTGTAAAAGGGAGCATTCTACTGGCTTTGCAAAAAAATATTTGGGGTGCTTTTATTAAAATCATGATTCTTGAGGGGTTTCTAAATTCATGCTTTTATTGGCATGAGACTGAAACCTGACAATATTTTCAGGCCAAAGTTGTTAAATGCTTTCTGCAGAGCATGCAGGGTTTTTCAGTGGGTTTGGGGTTTTTTTGGTTTCCCTGTTATTCTGCAGCATAAAGATTACCCACAGAGTTATATTTCTCTTCTCACATTGAAGATGTAAGTATTTGCGTGCCCTGAGCTGCACGAAGAATATAAAAAGTATACAATTGCATAGCAATTAATACACATCAGCGAGACAGAATTTCTTTGGCACTTACATCTTGCACAATAGACCAGGTGACCATTTAAGCCCCAATGTCTTCACCACTTGCTCTGTCCTACTGTAACAACATCACTTTTTAAATATTTAAAGATTTGCTTTAATAAAGAACTGTGAATAATTATTTTACCCTATCCTTGATTTCTCCCTGCTTTTCAGAGACTTTTTTTCTCCTGCATTTCAAAATACTACATTGTTTATTGCCTGCTGCCACACTGTCCTGGTTTCAGCTGGGTTAGAGCTTATTTTTTTCTTCTTCGTAGCTAGAATAGTGCTGGATTTGGGATTCAGTGTGGGATTTGGTGTGAGAAGAATGTTGATAATATACTGATGGTTTTAGTTGTTGCTAAGGAATCCAGGACTCTCTATCTCCCCGTGTCCTGCCCGTGGGCGGGTGCACACAAAGCTGGGGGGAGCACGGCCAGAGCACTGGACCCAAACTGGCCAAGGGCATATTCCATATCCGACAGCGTCATGCGCAGTGGGTCGCGGGGGGTGACCGGGTAGCCCTCGCTCTCGCTTCTGGGATTGCGGTTTGGAGATTTCCTCATCTCTGGGATCGCTGGCTGGGGCCGGGCTGGGCATCGGTCAGCGGGTGGGGAGCAATCGCACTGGGCATCACTCGCCTCTATTTTCTATTATTACCGTTATTATTACTATTTTATTTCAATTATGAAATTGTTCTTATCTCAACCTAAGTGTCTCCTTACCTTTTCCCCTCCGATTCTCTCCCCCATGCCCCGGGAAGGGGGAGGGTGGTTGAGAGGCTGCGTGGTGTTGGGCTGCCAGCCGGGTCCAAGCTCCGAACAGCCCCTTTGTTAAAGAACAAACCCAAACCCAGAGCACCCCCAGGCACACACACAGCCCCCCCCCACTCATTCTGCATTTCGTTAGCTTCGTACTGCTTTGAACTTAAACAGGATGCTCTAACTCGTCTGGGTCTCTGTCCCCCTGCACTCCCCCGGAGCAAATGCCATTTCTGGGCAGTCGCTCTGCATCTCCCTCTGTTCCCTCCTGGTCAGGGCTGTCACCCGACACTCTGGGGCAGACAGGTTCTTCTGGGGACCCTGGGCAGAATGATGGCGGCACTAAGTCATAGTTACAATTAAAGCTTTATTTTTTTAACATTATTTTATGATCAGCGTAGCCTAGAATGTCATGATCAGAGTAGCACAAGATTTCTACAAGCAGCATCAGCGTAGCACAATTTTATAAGTACCGTAGCGCTGAATTTTATAGCACAGCTTAGCTTATGGCTCCCAATCACCCGGACCCTCTGCAGATTGGGTCGCATCTTAACACTTGGCTCGCCGTAGCTACGTAACGATCCTAACCTGGACTCAAAACACATGAGAGCATACGAGTGGCTCTCTCAATCCTCAGAGGAAGCAGACTGGTTGATCTTACAGACGGGGTCTGTGTGCTGCTGCGCTTCCCTGTTCTGTGACGGGGTCGTCACAACCTGCTGGGCCGGTGCCCGGCACCTTCCAGGCCCGTGGGGAGGGAAGACGTCGGCCTGGCGCCCGGGAACCTTGAGGCCGACGGGGACGGGGAGAAGAAGTCTGCCTGGTGCACAGGAGCTCCAGGGCCTGAGGAGGAGGGGAGAGGGGACTGAGACAGGACCAGCCCGGTCACAGAGCGTGGCCGTTTGCCTCATGAAATGGCGTTCGTTATGCTAACCGTGTTTCCAGGGCTCGGGAGCAGGGGGTGCAGGCCACAAGCGCAATTGTTAATCGCCTCCATCAGATGGTTCCTGAAGTGCCGGGATGGCAGCAATGCAGGGCCCAAATAGCCGTTAGGCTCAAGGCCACTGGACTGTGTCTTGGCGGGCAGAAAAAATTAATTGGAAACAAACCCGTAAGAGACCAGGTGCTTTGCTACATGAGTCTCACGGACACAGTCCTGTACCTGGGAAGAGTGGAAAAGAAACCCTCAGCACCCCGAACGTGCCAGCCAGCGCTGCGGAGGCACGTTTACAGCCCTGGGCAGGTTTCTTTCACCTGGCTGCTGCAGCTCGGGGAAGAGGCGGGGGCTCTGCCAGCGGGCGAGCAGCCCTTCGGCTGCGGCGGCTGTGTGGCCGCAGTGTGTCCCCGTGCGTCCCTGGGTGGCCCCGTGTCACAAAGGGGCGGTGATGCGGCACCCGCCCGGCGATTGTGATCTCACCGGGCCAGGGCCCGACATCCTGACAAACAGGCCAGTGAAAGGCGGTGGGGCTGAGCCGGCCTTCGGGGTAACTCGGCTCCTTCCTTTGGTACTTGCGTGCCTCCTTTGCACCAAGCAGTTACTGTGTACTGCCCTCTTCTCCTCAACTGCCATCCTCTTTCAAAGGTAATTATGATTTGACTTTCAGGGCAGATCATATGAGTACGTAGATACGGGCTAAAAGTATCCAAACGGCCTTTGGAATTGCTGCCAGTTGGAGTCCTGTGACAGGGACAGTAGGGCCAGCAGCCTGCAGCTCTGCAGCAGCTGCAAGTACCACTGACACGCTCTTGATGGCGGAGGCTGTTCTGTGGGTTTCATTTGGGGTTTTTAAAATTCCTTCTGTTGAGCTACAGTTATCTCTTTGCAATCAGGGACTGGCGCGGATCTTCTCTGTCTGGAGAGCAGCCTGACATCCTTTGTCACCCCAAGCTCTCCCCTGTGTTGCTGAGAGGAGCGAAGGCCGCAATGGGGAACGACTTCTGTGAGTGACAGCTTCACCAGCCCGTTTGGATTTGGGGAATACCCAAAGGCAGCGGACGTGGCCGGTGCTCCAGCCCTGAGTGTTGCTGTGCTGACAACCTAGAGTTAATTCTGGGGCCTTGCGTGGTAGCAGCCAGACTTACCTAGCTGTTTTTCATTACGCACAGGAAAACACATTTTATCACTCCTCTGCCTCCATGTACAAGACTTTGAAAGCTGTCATTGCTCGTAGAAAGAGCTGACATCAGTAGGGTTACCTTCTGGGCTGGATACTTACTTGTTTTTGTCAAGTTAAAATCAGGAAAAGGGAAAACTTGACCTGCTAATCCAGTTCAAGACTCGAGAGGGAAGGGAAGGTAGCCCGAGGCACCGAAATCAGCGTGTGGGTTTGCTGGAATTTTGACAAAGAAAGCAGGGGAACAGACTATTTTCCAAAACTGTTTCTTGGCCAGCAAATTTCACTGGCAGTGTTAGGCTTCCCCCAGTGTTTCTGGGTTGGATGTAGACCTGGTTGTACCGGGTGCTACTGAGGAGAACTCAACCTTTAATATGCTTTTGTGCAGCAATATTGTCTCATGTCTTTTCAAATCTCATTTCCCTGCAGTCACTGTTGAGGGAATGGCTCCGCCACAAAAGATTCTCTTTCCCCCGGAGAAGATTTGCATGGACTGGCAGCAACGACAGAGCGCTGGAGCAGGGCTCTACAACCTGGGGAACACGTGCTTCCTCAACTCCGTCCTGCAGTGCCTGACGTACACACCCCCTCTGGCCAACTACCTGCTCTCTCGGGAGCACAGCCAGTTGTGTGAGTGCTTTTATGAACATCTCCTTGTAAATCTGTTGGGCACTTCCCAAGGATTCCCAGAAACTGGAATTCAATTTAGGAGAAAAGCAGCCTTTCTTTGTCAACCCCCTGAGTTGGTGGTCTTGTAACACTCAAGCCTAGAAGCCTCTTGTCGTAACCAGAAATGTTCATCTTCAGAAAGACAACTCTTTCTAGCCCTGGGTCTCTATTCCTGCAAGTTAAACAATTCTCTTTGCTTACTCTATAGAAAACTTGTGTCAGTTTAGTGTCCCTCTGAAGAAATTTTCCTGTGCACTAACATGTTCCAGGCTTGTTGAGACGTCAGCACCTTGAGACAAGAGGAGTGGAAACTGTTCTTCTAACTTCAAGATTTCCACTAAGTTTCCCATGGCTATGGGTATTTTGCTAACCAGAGAAGCTTCCTTCCCTCTCTCCCTCTGCAGGTCACCAGCAAGGCTTCTGCATGATGTGCAGAATGGAAGCGCACGTTAACAAGGTGCTGCATTCCTCAGACAGTGCCATCCAGCCTTGGGATGTCGTCAGTGTTCTCTCACGTAAGTCATCTCAGGTGCTTTTACATGTTTCCTGCCATTTTTGTAGGACAGCACTAGTGACTCCTTCTTTCTTAGGAATAGGAGAACATTTCGAGCCTGGCATGCCGGAAGATGCCCGTGACTTCTTACGCTGTACTGTCAGTGCCATGCAGACAGCTTGTCTGAGTGGGAGCAGCGAGTAAGCACAAACAAATTACTTTTTCCATGTTCCTGAGCCCTTTGGACATCTTGATGTACTCTCATCAAGAAAACCCTACGCCCAAGGCTTTCAGACAAAGCAAAACTCTTGGAGGAGATAACTCTCTGCCTTACCATTTATTTCCAGCTTGGATGCCTCTTCTCAACTAACTACAGTTGTCCAACAAATATTTGTGGGCTTTCTGAGATCCAGAGGTACTTTTCCACAACCCTTCTTCTCCTCGTCTGTGCCCTTCTGCCTGCCTGTGATAAACAGCTGATTGTGTAACTGGTGTAGTAGGTATGAAGGATGTAAACTGGCACAATCAGTTGATTTCCCCTATCGCTGAGCATTTTGATTTGCCTTCCAGTCACGTGCTTGAGCTGCAACATGACTACCAATTTCTACCAGGCCTTCCTGGATCTTTCTTTGGATATACAAGTAAGGGTTTCTAACTGCGCTTCAAGACATCTCAAAGTCCCTGTAGCTTCCCAGAATCAACACAGTTGACTTAAAAATGTGTACTGCAAACACAAGAGAGCTTGGTGGTGGGTGGGATGTGGAAAGGATGGTGTCCTTCTGGGGAGGCCATGGCAGAGGTCTCCGTGTAGGTGCTGGCCTTAAGCTGGACAAGCACCCATTATCCTCTCTGCACATCATCAGTACATGAACTGAACGGTGGCACAGGGATGGAACTCTTGATAGCCCCAAGGATCCTGGGGAAATGAGGGCAATTTTGAGCGTAATAGCCTCTTTCTGCCTCCTTCTGGACACTTCTTGGCGGTTCACAGTGGCTCTCCTCAGTGTCAACCAGCTGCATTTTTGCGTAAACTCCTAGTGAGTGTTTGGGCAAGGGTACTTCCCACAGCTCAGTGCTCTCTTTTCTCACTCCTCCAGGCAGCCTCATCTGTCACCGCAGCTCTGGAGAACTTTGTGAAACCGAAGCAGCTGGATGGTGAAAACTGCTTTAAATGTAGCAAGTAAGATGATTCCTAACGACATATTAGTACTAGATCCTGCGGGAAGGTGCTGCATGTCTCTGTCATAAGCCATCTTGTCACGTAGGTTTAATGCACAATAGAGTTGTAGCTTTTTTTTATTTGGCCTTATGGTACTGAATAGCCTTAAAATAGCATAAGGATGTGTGAGACAGGAGAGCTTGCCTGGCCTCCTTGGGGCAAGACAGGGTGCATTTCAGCACCTGGCTCTGTGCTTGGTTTCAAGGTGTGACAAGATGGTTGCCGCCTCCAAGAGCCTTACAGTCCACCACGCACCCAGGGTTCTCACGGTGTGTCTGGAAAGGGCTGAAGATTTCACCAACAGGAAGATCAGCAAGGTGTGTACGCAACTGGAGTGCAACTTTCTCTTCCTGGAGCAGGAGATTTCCCAGAGCTGTTCATGTTGAGTTTTTCGTGTTTCCTTCTGGAGAGAGGAGAGTCCCCATGGGAAGACAAGCGTGTGCTCTGCTCCGACTGAGCTACTTTGGCCGACAAGTTTCCTGCCACCCAGACATGTTGTTTTAGGGAAGACCAAGTATCCAGGAGCCCAAAGATGTATTAATACACCTCTGGCCCCTGGTCATTGAGGGCTATTTCATGAGTATTTCTGGATCATTTTGGAGCCCTCTTGGTCTCTCCGTAGGTTGTGGAGTATCCCGAGTGCCTGGATCTTCGCCCGTACACATCTCAGGCAGCTGGGGAACCGCTCCTCTACTGCTTATATGCTGTCCTGGTACACAGCGGTGACAGCTGTAATGAAGGACACTACTACTGCTACACAAAGGTAAAGAGCAGCTTGCTTCCAAACAAGGGAGAAATGTGTGCTGGGGAAGACAAATTTGCATGGCAGGTATCAGCAGATTAGATTTTGGGGAAGAAGGTCTCCTTAGGGGCTGGATTAGATTTGGTGTGGTGTTTGTACTCTTGCTTCTTCTGTAGTTTTCTGCCTGTGTTTTTCTGGAGAAACCACACAGTTCGTCTCCAGGTATCGATGCCTTTTTTTACAGGCCAGCAACGGACTGTGGTACAAGATGGACGATATGTCTGTGCATTATTGTGACATTGACACAGTTCTCAGGCAACAAGCTTATTTACTGTTTTATGTCAGGTAATAACAAGTATTAAAATGTGTTCAGAATACATTTCCTTTTGCTAACTTTTATTTTTTTCCTTTTCATCCCCCTGAGTGTTTCTCTTTCTGTCACAGGAAGCAATTACCACCTGCATCATTCTGTGCTGTCAAATCTAAACTACCCCACGGCAGCCCATAAGGCCCCTTGCTGGGCTTTAGGTCGCTGCCGTGGTGTAAACTGCTACTTGTCTTCTATCTGAAGCTGGCTAATGTAGAGAAGAGACCTTAAAAGTACAGGAAAGATGGGGAGGGACTGTTTATCAGGGAGTGTGGGGATAGGACAAGGGGTAACAGTTTTAAACTGAAAGAGGGTAGATTTAGATTAGGTATTAGGAAGAAATTCTTTACTGCGCAGGTGGTGAGGCACTGGAACAGGGTGCCCAGAGGAGCTGTGGCTTCCCCCTTCCTGGAAGTGTTCAAGGCCAGGTTGGACAGGGCTTGGAGCAACCCGGTCTAGTGGAAAGTGTCCCTGCCTATGGCAGGGAGGGTGGGACTCGATGATCTTTACGGTCCCTTCCAACCATTTTATGATTCTATGACTCTATGAAATGGAGGCTGTAGGATGTATAAAGACGAGATCTTGCTCCGACAGGGGCAGACCTGGTGGGGAGACCCCAACTGAGTTTCCCATTTGTCTTGGTTATGTCTTCTCTCTGTTGTAGGAAACTCCAAGAAAATGACTGAACCCCAGAGGAGGTGCTCGGATTTGCAACCTGAGAAAGGACTTCTTCCTCACCGGCACTGTCCTACGCCCGTTCCTTCCTCAGTCAGTGGGCGCCGGCAGCGAGCAGGTGGGCTCTGTGGGACCACAGGGTCTGCCTTGTCGGACCAAGGCAACTCAGGGGAGGTGGGTCAGGGCACCAGACAGACAGTGGATTTCTTTCTGAGATCTCTTTTCCCTCCTAACCTGCAGCTTTCTTCACAGTTGCAGCACCGCTCCCTCTCCAAGCACCCCACCTAGATCCATCCCATTTCTCCACCTTTGGCTCTTCTGCCTTTGCAGCCCTCCAGGAGAGCCTTTGGGAGGCCCTTGGCTGTTCCCTCCCACAGCTCCTGGGGGTTCCCCATGGTTCTGGTCCTTTCAGGAGGAAAGGGCAGGACCTTACCACAGTTCTCTTTGCAGGATGTGGCGGTGGGCATGGAGGGCTCTCTAGAGGACAGTGGCTCCTCTGCACCAGCCAGCAGCCAGGTAACCTCGGCAGGTGCCCAGGAGGCATCTGCATGGTGGCTGTGCCGTATCTGGCCAGGCAGGCTCCGCATGGCCTCCTACGTGGGCTCCTGCTTGCATCGCTTCTTCTGTGGCTGTGTAAGGCTGGTATCCAGAAGGAAAGCTGCGTGCCTGGACTCCCGTCAACTATCTGATAGTGTGCTGCACGCCATGCGAGAAGACAGCAACAAAGGGGAGCACGGATTCAGCACTTCTTCCCGCTGCCAGACAAACAGCGCCAGGGAGAGGGCCCGGAGCAGGTCCCCACAGTGGGGAAAAGATCATCGCAGCTGGCTCGTGGACACCACGGACTACGAGCACTCAGCAGGGAGAAGGAGGAGGAGAACTAGTCCTCCAAGTCGTGAACACGCTTCCAGGGATGACACAGCTCCAGAGCCTCCTAATGGAAGCTCCCAGTTGGCTCCCACAGCCAGGGCTGCTCGGGAGAAAACGCTGCCAAGGCAGAGCGAACAGAGCAGAGCCCTGCAGCGCAGAGATGATCTCCTCAGCCAGTTCAAGGAGATCACGGATTACCACTGCTCAGAAAGGACAACACGTTCTCCACGCTGTGACCGAGCCCCAAGGGACAATGCAGCTCCAGGGCCCTCCAACAGCAGCTCCAAGTGGGCTCCCAGGGCTGCTTGGGAGAAAACTCGATGGAGGCAGAGAGCGCGGAGCAGATCCCCACAGCGGGGCCGTGATCGCCGCAGCTGGTTCATGGACACCAGACTATGACCCTTCGGCAGGGAGGAGGAGGAGGAGAAGGGTTTCAGTGCCCCAGAAATGCACATCGCACAAACACTCAGAGCGCTGCAGTGGTGACAGTGGCAGATTGTGACCCTGGATGAGGGAGGAGCATAGCATCCGACTTCTGCCACGCTGGAGAGGAGGAAAACTAATTCAGGAAACACCAAAACTGTGCCCAGCAGGGACCAGGCTGCGCTAAGGCCACCGGCAGCCCCCCTTGTCCTTCCTCTCAGTGCTGCCTCTGCCCAGGAGGAGCTCAGAGAGACCTTCCAGAGACCTGGGCAGCTCTGCTGGCTGGCCCCCCTGCCCAAAGGCCCCTTGAGGAAGAGCTTTAACCCATGCTCAGCTTTTGGGATCACCTTGCAAAACCAGCACTCCTCTGGAAACAACAGTCAGAAAAGCCAAAGCCAGAATTAAAAACAGGTGTTGGCCTTGCATGTGTAATTTACGGGGTGTTTCATTCTCTGCAGGTTTGGGGTCAATCAGTGGAAATATCCAGTCTGAGAAGTTTATGTTATGGGATTTTGAAAGCTGTGGGCTTGCACGTGCCCATCTTGCGCTCTCATTAAGTTCCAGTTCAAGTCACTCGAAGGGAAATGGTCCACATGAGCCAGCACCGAGCGGGACTGCAACAGGCTGAACGGCCGGGCCGAGGGTGCTGCTCAGTGGCACCAAGTGTAGTCAGAGGCCAGTGACTAGCAGTGCCATTCAGGGTTCAGTACTGGATCTGATCCTGTGTGCCCTCTTCCTCAACTGATGGTCTGGATGACAGGGCAGAGTGCACCCTCCACAACTTGGCAGATGCCACCAGACTGGGAGGAGTGGTGCCAAGGCCAGGGGGCCGTGCTGCCATCCCGAGGGGCCTGGGCAGGCTGGAGAGATGGGCTGGCAGTTCAGCAAGGAAAAGCACAAAGGGTGCTGTGTGGGTGACGAGCACCAGCACCGGCTGCCCGAGGCGCCTGTGGAGGCTCCAGCCAGGTAGATGTGCCACAGCCCTCTCTGCCCATGGCCAGGGACACCCAGCTGCAGGTGGCCCTGCTCGAGCAGGGCTCAGCCCGGGTGAGTGCCCCCTCCGGCGGCTCTCCCGGCCAGCCTCACGGAGCCTGCGCTGCTGGAAATGGCTGCTGAGAAGAGGACGCAGGACTTCTCCTCAACTTCCATCCTCTTTCCATGGTAATTATGATTTAACTTTCAGGACAGATCATAAGAGTAGGCAGATACAGGATAAAAGTATCCAAACGGCCTTTGGAATTGCTGCCAGTTGGAGTCCTGTGACAGGGACAGTAGGGCCAGCAGCCTGCAGCTCTGCAGCAGCTGCAAGTACCACTGACACGCTCTTGATGGTGGATGCTGTTCTGTGGGTTTCATTTGGGGTTTTCTAAATTCATTTTGTTGAGCTACAATAATGTTTTTGCAATCAGGGACTGGCGCTGATCTTCTCTGTCTGGAGAGAAGCCTTTGTCATCCCAAGCTTTCCCCTCTGTTCCTGTGAGTAATGGCCTCACCAGCCCGTTTGGATTTTGGGAATGCCCAAAGGCAACGGACGTGGCCGGTGCTCCAGCCCTGAGTGTTGCTGTGCTGACAGCCTAGAGTGAATTCTGGGGCCTTCCCTGGTAGCAGCCAGACCTACCCCAGTGTTTCTGGTTACACACAGGAAAACACATTTTATCACTCCCCTGCCCCTAGCACAAGACTTTGAAAGTTGTCGTTGCTCATAGAAAGAGCCGACATCAGTAGGGTTACCTTCTGGGCTGGATACTTGCTTGTTTTCACCGAGTTACAATCAGCAAAAGAGAAAACTTGAGATGCCATTCCAGTTCAAGACTCAAGAGGGAAAGGAAGGTAGCCCGACGCACAGAAATCCGAGTGTGGGTTTGCTGGACTTCCAGCATGTTACATGGACTGGCAGCAACAACAGAGAGGTGGAGCAGGGCTCTACAACCTGGGGAACACGTGCTTCCTCAACTCCGCTGCAGTGCCTGACGTACACACCCCCTCTGGCCAGCTACCTGCTCTCTTGGGAGCACAGCCAGTCGGGTGAGTGCTTTTATGAAATATCTCCTTGGAAATCGGTTGGGCACTTCCCAGGGTTTCCCAGAATCTGGAAGTTGATTTAGGAGAAAAGCAGCCCTTCTTTGTCAATCCTATAGTGGGTGTTCTTGGAACACTGAAGCCGAGAAGCCGCTTGTCTTATCTAGGCGTGTTCATCTTCAGAAAGGCACCTCTTCCTAGCCCCGGTCTTGGTCCCTATTCCTGCAAGTCAAACTCTTTGCTTATTGCACAGAAACTTATGTCAGTTTAGTGTCCCTCTGAAGAATGTTTTCTATGCACTAAAATGTCCTGGCCTTGTTGGGACACTGGCACCTTGGGAGAAGAGGAGTGGAGACTGTTCTTTTAACTTCAAGATCCCCATCAGGTTTCCCATGGCTATGGGTATTTTGCTAACTTGAGAAGCTTCCTCCCTCCCTCCCTCCCTCCCTCCCTCCCTCCCTCCCCCTCCCTCCCTCCCTCCCTCCCTCCCTCTGCAGGTCACCAGCAAGGCTTCTGCATGATGTGCACAATGGAGGCACACATTAGCAAGGTCAGGTATTCCTCAGGCAGTGCCGCCAAGCCTTGGGCTGCATCAGTGTTCTCACACGTAAGTCATTTCAGGTGCTCTTACAGTATTTTCTCCATTCCTGTAGGAGAGAACTAATAACTTCTTCTTTCTGAGGAATAGGAGAACATTCTGATCCTGGCATGCAGGAATATGCCCATGAGTTCTTACGCTGACTTCCCCTACCACCGACCATTTTGATTTGCCTTCCAGTCAGGTGCTTGAGCTGCAACACGGTCTCCGATTCCTACGAGGCCTTCCTGGATATTCCACTGGATATAAAAGTAAGAGGTTTGGCAACTGTGTTTCAAGACGTCCCAAGGCCCCTGTAGCTTTCCAGAATGAATATGGTTGACTTAAAAATGCATACTGTGAACACAAGAGCGCTTGGTGGTGGGTGGGGTGTGGAATGGACGGTGTCCTCCTGGGCAGGCCATGGCACTGCTCTCCCTGTAGGTGCTGGCTTTAAGCTGGACAAGCACCCATTATCCTCGCTGCACCCTTGATAGACTCTCATCCCTCTTTCTTTTGCCCTCCCTCAACCCCCATCTGGCTCCTAGGCTGATGGGTTGTGTTGTTTTCATTACCGATGACCCTCCACACCATCGGAGCTGAACTGAGCGGTGGCACAGGCACGTAGCTCTTGACAGCCCCAGAAATCCTGGGGAAATGAGGGAAATGTCGACCATAATACCCTCTTTCTGCCTCCTCCTGGACACTGCCTGGGGGTTCGCAGTGGCTCTCCTCAGCGTCATCTAGCTGGGTTTTTGTGTAAACTCCTAGTGAGTGCTTGGGCGAGGCTATTTCCCACAGCTCACTGCTCTCCTTTCTCACTCCTCCAGGCAGCCTCATCTGTCACCACAGCTCTGGAGGAATTTGTGAAACCGAAGCAGCTGGATGGCGAAAACAGCTTTAAATGTAGCCAGTAAGATGATTCCTAACGACATATTAGTACTAGATCCTGCGCGCGGGTGCAGCATGTTGTCCATCATAAGTCACCTTTTCACATAGGTTTGATGCACAATAATGAGACACAGCACTTTTTCATATGGCCTTATGGTACTGAATAGCCGTAAAATAGCGTAAGGCTGTGTGAGACAGGAGAGCTTGCCTGGCCACCTGGGGCAAGGCAGG